CAGGGGAATCACGCTCTTAAGCCTCCCTGTAAGGTCTATTCGGGGGTTCTGGAGAGGAGGGTCCGTTGGATAGTTGAACCTCGGATTCAGGAGCAGCAGTGCGGATTTTGTCCTGGCCGTGGAACACTGGACCAGCTCTACACTCTCAGCAGGGTCCTGGAGGGTGCGTGGGAGTTTGCCCAACCGGTCTACATGTGCTTTGTGGACTTGGAGAAGGCATTCAACCGCGTCTCTCGGGGAACCCTGTGGGGATACTCTGGGAGTATGGGGTACGGGGCCCTTTGATACGGGCTGTTAGGTCCCTGTATGACCGGTGTCAGAGCCTGGTCCGCATCGCCGGCAGTAAGTTGGGCTTGTTCCCGGTGAGAGTTGGACTCCGCCAAGGTTGCCCTTTGTCACCAATTCTGTTCATAACTTATATGGACAGAATTTCTAGGCGCAGCCAAGGTGTTGAGGGGATCCGTTTTGGTGGCCTTAGGATTGCGTCTCTGCTTTTTGCAGATGATGTGGTCTTATTGGCTTCATCAGATCGTGATCTACAGCTTTCGCTGGAGTGGTTCGCAGCTGAATGCGATGCAGCCGGGATGAAGATCAGTTCCTCCAAATCCGAGGCCATGGTCTTGAGCCGGAAAAGGGTAGCGTGCCCTCTCTGGGTCAGGGAGGAGGTCCTACCCTCATCTATGGTCACAAGCTTTTGGTTGTGACCGAAAGAATGAGATCTCGGATACAAGCGGCTGAAATGAGTTTTCTCCGCAGGGTGTCTGGGCTCTCCCTTAGAGATAGGGTGAGAAGCTCGATCATCCGGGAGGGACTCAGAGTAGAGCCGCTGCTTCTCCATGTCGAGAGGAGCCAGTTGAGGTGGCTTGAGCATCTGTTTAAGATGCCTCCTGGACGCCTCCCTGGTGAGGTGTTCCAGACACGTCCCACCGGAAGGAGGCCCAGAGGAAGACCCAGGACACGCTGGAGGGACTATGTTTCTCGGCTGGCCTGGGAACGCCTCGGGATTCCCCCGGAAGAGCTGGCCCAAGTGGCTGGGTTGAGGGAAGTCTGGGCCTCCCTACTTAGGGCTGCTACCCCCGCGAACCGACCTCGGATAAGCGGAAGAAAATGGATGGATGGATGGATTAATAAAAATGTATCAGTGACTGTGAGTTTTGCAAAACTTGTCATAAGAATATTTTATTAGTGTTAATGTTAACACCACCAAGAATATTTAAAACCACTGAACCATGTGTTCAGCTTTAATGGCTGTACGTCTAAGATTAATAGAGGGAAAAAATTGTGAGAATGAGTTTAGTATTCAGCTTTGACTGATTAAACGCGCAGGTACTTCATTGTGCCTGACAAACAGGTTACACTGAGTGGAGCGGTCAACCGTTCCAAGATGGCGGCCCTATGGCTCGTGGCCAATAGGTAATAGCGGTCAATGCTGTATCTAGCTTTTCTATATCTATGTGTAAAACTGTTTGTTTACAATTTTTTTTATTTAAGCGAGCTTTGTAATAATGTATTTATGGTGTAAGAAGATTACAATAACAGTGTAATAATTCACGTAAAGTGTATACTGTTTACATGATCTTAGTAAAAGTACACATTAAACTGTGTACATTACCTTTGTCAAAGTACACAGTATAGTAAATTGTAAAGGCGGGACAACCAAAAATTTTGGCAGACAACCAGATTCTGTCAAGAGGTTGTCTGTTGGACAACCTGGAACAATTCCTTATGTTTGCCCTGGTATACAGTTTAATGTTACAAGTTATCAGTGTAATAGGGTAAGTTAAGTTATATGTGTAATAACACGTTTACAGTATAGTAATGTGATTACTGTGAAAAATTGTGCATCGCCAATTGTCACTGTCAGCAATGGGGGGTAAGCCCCCTTAATAGTCAGATTCTAGTATTGCCCCTGTTTGAATGACAAAGTTTTCTTTTTTCTACCTATCTAATGAGTTAGCAGTGTAAGAATGTAAGTGAAGTGTGTAACGGAGTGAGATATAAGTGCAATAATGTGAATATAGTGTAAAACTGACGGTGTGTTTGTGAATAATACTGTGATCAGGCTGTAAAATCGTTGCCCTGCTTTGCCACGCCTGAAAGAAAGAGTGGTCAACAGGCTCCTGCAGAAATTAAATCAATGAACCAGGTGTGTTGGAGCAGGGAAACAGCTGGAACCTGCAGGTAAGAGGACCGATCACGCACCTGTGAGAGCCTCTGTGAGCGCGCGCCTGTTGTTGACAGCATGCGACCAGCGGATCTCCGCCGCGTCTTGTTTTGTCAGCTGATTTAGTCTTAAAAAATACTCGAGCGTTCGGTCGCCCATTGCTTGTGTAAAAAACAAAAATACAACCAAAACAAAACAAGAAATTATGAGCGATTGCCAGAGCAGGCGGGACGCCGGTCTACACCACCACATGAGCGCTCCTCCACAGACACACACAGGTAACGTTGGTTGCTGGACTCCGCCTGCACACTTACACTAATGATTACGGTAGAAGTATGGGAAGCCCGAAAGGACAAAAGGGGTCAGTTGATTTTTACTGTTCTTGGGTACAGCTTTAAGGGAGTTAGGCCGAACATTCATTGAATTAATGTTTCTCAACCGCCGCCTTTTATTGCAGTTTTAAAGTAAGATCATCTTATGCTTAGAAAAATGCAGTTATTACCATTTTGGTCAAACATAGAAAATGATCATTTTATTTTTTATCCAGGCTAACCTTATAAAAGAGATTAAAATTCTCAATGGATTTCATTTGTGGTAAAATAAAGGTTTAAAATAACAAAAAACTGATAAACTTATGCGCGACATTCAGGGCCAGATTAACACTTCGCTGTACCCTGGGCAACAATCTTCAAGGGCCCCATCATCACGACCCCAGAATCACCATAATCTGGCAAAATATAGAATAAATTACCATAATATACAGTAAATATACTTAAAATTCTAAGTATCAAGTGTATTTTTATGTATAAAACTCCAAATGCTCATTGACACAAATCATCAAAACTGAATTAAGTCAAGTAGGTATCTCTGCAAGCAAATTCGGAAGGCTGTCTGGGCGGTCATATCTGATTGGACTATATGAAAATGGGCGTGTCTGGCCGTCCGCATTTGATTGGACGATAAAAATGGGCGTGTCTGGCCGGCCACATCTGATTGGACAATAGAAAAAAAAGGCTGAACGATAAAATGCTGTATGAATCGCTTGACTGGTTCGCAGTCCAAACAGCTGATTCTCTGGCACCGCCTCGTCTCGATTCTAACAGGTGACAGGTTGAGACAGTTTTGAATTGAGAGCTCAACACTATGAAACATTTTAGAGCCGTTTCAATGGGTTGGAGAGTAGGTGTGTTTTTGCTGTTAGTTGAAACTGAGTAATTATAGAGCCAGCCAGGAAAAGAGGTTGTTCTAACATGTGAGAACACTTCATTCTGCTCATGATAAGATGGTTTTGGTATTTAAATGTCAAAAAAGGTATAGTAATGTTCAGCAGTAAAGATATTCTAGCTGTTTTTTGTTACTTTTCTTTTTTAAGCCATCCTATTATTATTATTTTTTATTATAAACATCTGTAGGCCTTTTTTATAACAGTCTATTGTTGTTGCTGTTGTCCATTGTTGTCATCATTCTTTGTTGAAATCAGGTCTCTCTTGTAAATGAGTCCTCGAGGCTCATTGGGATTTACCTGTCTAAATAAAGGTTGAATAAAAAAAAATTATCTAACCCATTTAACCCATGTATTTAATATAATTACAGTAAAATGATGTATGTGATTTAAATAATAATATATAAGTATGGGCTCAAATTAATTTTTTTAATTTCCATTAGTGTATTTGTGCAGGTGCAGTGTTTGGTGTGTTCAACTGAAGCATCATGATACCTACTCTATGATTAGACACTTCAGCACTGTAGTGAACTTGACCTGATGTCAAAACTTGACCTTGTGGGACAGAAACTGTCATTTCATTGATTTGAATCCAGAAATACAGGTTCACCCATCCTGAGACTTTCTTTCTTGAAAATTCAAGTGAAAGAACACTCTCTTTTCTATTATCATTACTGTTTTACAAATGTTTGATAATCAAAGTGTTTTAGTTCAAACATTTTAGATGTTACAGTGAACTAATCAATTTTTATTAACTGTGAAAACAGTAATAATGATTATTTTTAATCCTCATGCAAAGTTAGAATTCATGTTAAGGCCTGTTACAGAGTAATTATGCATTTTCTGATTTTCTGTCTTTGAATGAGCAGTGTACGTTTGCTCCAAGGTCGGAGTCGAAGCAGACAAGTGTTGGAACAACTGTCTTGTTTTTAAATCCTCTCAGACGTAAACAGAGAAGTTGGCACCTGTTTCTCCAAACTCGCCCAAACATTTCTCTCGCCTGTCTGAAAACATTTTCAATCTGTTCCATAACATTCTTGCTGTTTTCTGACTTCTAGTAACCTTTTACGTCACAAAACACACCCCTGTCTGGTCGACATTGACCAATAAGAAAACTCCCAAATGAACCGGAATTAGAGCCCTTTAAAATGTCGGTACTTCCTAGTTCTCTCAGTTCTGTGAGTTGCCGTTGGAGTCGGGCTGGAGAGTTTGCAACTCCAGTCGTTTGGGAGAACAGAAGTCCAGCCATGATAAGGCTCTTCCGAGATTGGGATTATAACATCTTCCACCTCTGAGTGGAACTCGGACGAACCCCACTCATGTGAGGTCCACTGGCTGAGGTGAACTTGTGTCAGACGGAATATCGTCACTACTTCGGACGAGTCACAGCCATCCTATGGAGACGCTGGACAGGTAGCGTTAACTGGAACTCCGTATCCACTGATTCATCTTCAGAGAGGTAACGAGTCAAGTTCACTACCGAGCGTACCGAGGAAAGCTGGGTTCGAATGGAGAGTGTCGTTTCTGGTCAACACTCTCCCTCACACACCATCTTTTACTCCCTTTAAACTTCATTTTCCATCTTTAAATTCTTCTATCAAGTAGAAACCATTCCAGATATTTTAGAAATGTCTGTGTAAAGTGCTCATCCACCGCCGTGTGGATAATTGATCATAATTGTACAGCTTGCTGATTAATTATGTTGTTATTTTCATATTTTGCCAAATTAATGTAAATGTTTGATGTTAAACTTTGATTCTGTAAATAAATGACCACATTCATTTTGATGGGTCAAAGATAAATAACGTCTCACGTTACATTTTATTAAATTCAATGCACGTTTATATACAGTCCAGAAAAATGAAAGAACTCGTTTAATTTATGAATATATCATGCATATGTTCATCTACAGCACCAAACATGGAGATGCTGGAGATGTCATTTCATTTATATTTTTAAGAATGATAAAGACTCTGACTCTGTCACAGTTACACAAGCACAATACCATTGCAACATTTTTATTAAATCTCTTCAATGCACATTTATCAATCTTTATTCAAAAACATGTAAGCATGAATAAATTTTCAAACCAGACAACATAGAAACTTGATGAATTAAAAAAAATTCTGTTTTTACCACAGTAAAGTAGTTTCTTTAACACTAGTCATTGAAAATATCCTGATGCGTGCTCAATAATCCAGGTAGTAAAATCCAAAATAGTTCAATCTGGTTCTCTGGACATTCAAAAAAAACATTCATCAGTTATGCAGTTATTACTGCTCACCCAGCCGGAGACAGAGATTCTTGCCAGGGGACTGAACTTTGCGGTTGCACCAAGTAGAATTCCTCTGGTGGAGATGATCACAGCCACAGAATCAGCCATCCACAACAACAAAATGAAAGAGGGTGAAGCAGAACAGCTCAGAATCAAAGTTTCATCCTGCCTCAGCAATGCCAAACCACCACCTTCCAACATCAGTAGAGAGGAGAGGGACACACTCACCACTCTTAGCAAGGACAAAAACATCATGGACAGTTTCTGTCCTGTTGAGCTCTCTGAATTGTCAAAAATAATAACCTCATCCAAACCATCCACATGTCTGCTAGATCCCATCACAACCAGACTGTTTAAAGAGGTATTTCCCCTAATTAATGTCCACATTTTGGATCTACTTAATTTGTCTTTAATGGATGGTTATGTACCACAGCGCTTTAAGGTTGCTGTAATTAAACCTTTACTTAAGAAGTCTGATCTTGATTCAGAAATTCTGGCCAACTATAGACCTATATCTAATTTAACTTTCATCTCAAAAACTCTAGAGAAAATATCCTGATGCATGCTCAATAATCCAGGTAGAAAAATCCAAGAAAGTTCAATCTGGTCCTCTGGATATTCAAAAAACAAAAAACAAAACAAAGCAAAAAAAAAATGTAGAAACGTTTCGTCTCTCATCCAAGAGACTTCCT